TGCCAGTCAATGCTGCAAGACTCTACTCTTAATTTGGAGTTTCTTCTTTGCCTGCTTCATATGCATCTTGTTTCAACAGATCCCATCCAAAGTAGTGAGCAAGGAGTACTGTTGCTCAGATGGGAGGGTGTTCAACTGGGTCCTTCTTCTTCTCCTAGTCATGCTCAATCCCCCATCAACAATGTTGAGTTGGCTGCTTAATTTGACACTGGCCTGTCTCCACTGCCGACTTATTTCCATGTATGTATGTATGTATGTATGTATGTATATATACATGTGCATTTCACTCAAACACTTTACTTTCTTTTTGATATTTCTCATTTCAATTAAGATATTTTTTTATGATATCCACAGAAAACACTGCCAACTTGACCCTAAAGGGTAGGAAGTATAGCATAATCTTGACAATTTCCTGCTGGGTTGGCTTAGATTTCTTCTTTGTGTTTTCAATTACTTTTTTATTTTTTATTTTTTTGGAAAAAAAACTCCCCAAGAGTCAAGAATCTAGTCATTGTTTGCAATCCAGACAGGCATGCAGCAATGTGCAGTGATGAATCATAAGATGCTTCACTGAGGGTGGTAGACAGTCAAAGAAGTTTTCTTTTGAGAAGAAAATAAGTGGATGAAGTATCATTTGTGGAGATTTACCTACAAAAAGAAAAAGAAAAAGAAAAGAAAAACATTTTCAATGTTGTTGAACAATTCTTCATTGCATGACACGTTGTGTAATTGACAGCATCAAAATGGGTATTTTGATTTTGATTTTGATTTTTTTTTGTTACCTTATTTAATTCATTTTGCCACCACCACCAGACCTGCAAGGCTTGACTTGCTTGTGTAACTCTTTGTACAGCACAGCTGCCTGCTATGGCATGGATTTCCATCATTCATGAGTGTGACCTGGCAAGGGGGGGGGGGGAGGACAGCCTCATAGATGAATGAATTCCTGGACGAATGATCTTCCTAAATTTGGTTCAATAATCAGACATGATACGTGTGAACCAACTCTCTCTATGGTAGATGGGGAGCTGTGGGATCTTGTGTGAGAACATAGAAGTTGACAAGAGGTCCTTTCCTCATTTTTTTTTTTAATAGAGATCCACTTGGTGAAGCAGAGCAAAGCCAATGAATATTAGACACTAGACTCCTTGTGGAGATGGATATGATCCAAGACCAAGCAAAACCCTGTGTGATGCCTCTGCTGATACTACAACACCACCACCAACAACAACAGCAACTACAAAAAAGACTTGGCCAAGGGAACTGTTCTCAAAAAAAATATGTGTGCAAAGCAGCCCACAGCTCATTTTAAGCCCTAGTACTCTTCATTAAATTTGTCCTAAAAGGATTGCCTCTTCTAGGGGTCAAAATTCAAATTTGTTTGACTGAAACCAAGGGAATAATTTTCCTTCATGTTCTAAGGGGCCCAGAGTGCTTTTTTGCCTCCTTTGTCAAGCTCCTATTCTGTGGCAACTTGGAACATGGACATACCCCCCCATGTGGAAGTGATTCTCTGGAAATGGGTGACTTATTTCTTAAGACCAGGTAGACTAAATTATTTCATTAGGGTTTCCAAATCTCTGTTTCATGGATATCTGTTTAAAAAACATGAAAAAGAAGGATGTGGGATGTCAGATACACTGCTCATTAAAAGAGAGCTTCAGATTATTATTATTTTTATGTTTTTAAAGCTGATCATTTTAAATATCCACATATGAATGCTAGAGAAAGTGGGTGACATGTCACGTTTTCAGGTATAAGTAAAGAGATGGGAAGAGAATACAAAGAAAAGTAATTTGACGTAGTGAATGATGTTGAAAACTATGAAGGAGAGCCTGACTGGATGAGGAGGAACCTGTGTGGACGGTAGTCTGTGGGTGGAACAGTGAAGAAGAGGAGCAAGGATGCTGATGCCAGCGATGACGAATAGGGGGAAGGGAGCTTGTCTTCAGGAGGGGACAGAGACAAGCAAACACCTTTGTCTTAGTGGTGTGCCCCACGGGATTACTTTTGTACTGTTTCCTGTGACGTCGGTTATTATGCCATTTGTGGAGATTCAGTCTTTGACGCTCATTCACCGTCATCAGGCGTCTGCCATGATGGTCACCAGGACAGCCTGGAATAGGAGGACCTTGTAATGCCCCTCCTCTTGAACAGGAGAGAACCGTGCTCCTCAGGCTTGTGGATTCATTCATTCATTCATTCTGATCCCCCAACAATACCCAGCTTCTGTTGTCGACAATCCACCTATTGAGAGTCCTAACGGAGATTTGCTTACTGATATAAAACAACACTAGAAATGAAAAGAAAAGAGAAGAAAAGAGAAGAAAGAATGGGTAATATTAAACTTGCCCCAATAACTGTTTTATGATGGGTGGACTTATCAAGCTGTAAGGGTAGTTGTCCTCTCCGCCTGGCCTATTGTAACTAGATGCTATTTATTAACTCGATCAACGAGTTGTTTCCTGTCGACTGCTACGAGAAAGCAAGAGTACTCAAATTCTCATGAGGAGCTTACCAGGGCCACGAGCAGGCCTGGGTTACATTTCCAGCATCGCGCTAGCTGCACCTGGCGATGATCGTTTCTCATGACGTGGACGGTGGCAGTCCAGAGTGTGCAGTGGCAGTTCCAACGCAGGGTCCTGCACACACGGGTTCTTCATGCGACCGGGTTCGAGACTGTCATCTTGCGAGCCGTCGCTTCGACGGCTCGACGGGGTTCATCTCACCGGGCTCCTGCACCCTATTCTGAATCAAGAATCGCGCATTCTGTCTGGACTCTCACAATTTGCATTTGATACGCCTCAGTTGCTGGTGTCTAGAAAAAAGTACTCGCCCGCAGTGACTTAGTCTGATAGTTTGCAGCCGCCTAAAGCGTGGCTTGTTCCGGCTTCAAGCTCGCAACTGATTGCAGGGCTAGTTTGGTTCAAAGATGTGTGAGTTGTCACAGTGAAACCAAGCGGTTCAGCGCAAGACGTGCTCCTTCTCAATTACACAAAAGCAGAACGTGCCCAGATGTCTGTGAAAGCAGGGTCTGGCCTGTATGATACGTTGGCACCAGTGACGATTGCCGCTACTAGGGGAAAAAAACATATCAAAATCCTGAGTCAATGCGCGATAGATTGTTGCCTCGGGTGTGCAGATTCTGCATGTGGTCACACTTGAGCTCGGACCCAACGAGTCCGTCGCTGCAACCACGGCTGCCTCCAACTGCTCGTCGATCTCCATGCTCCGTTTTGTCACCATGCAAACGTCGGATGTGGATGGATGGCGAGTTGTGGGTCTTCCGGGGTGTCGATGTGGGACAGATTTGTGTTCGTCCGAATCCGAAGACGTGGTCAAGTCCGAATGCGGTGCGGTGTCAGTGTGGTTGTGGGACATCCGGGAGAAGGGGCCACGGGACAGTACCGCTGCTGGGGTCGGTCACCCCCCCTGGCTCCTAAATGCCGAGCCTACTCATTTTGTCCTCTCCCTTCCCCAAAGCTTTTCTGCGCAACCTTTTTCACATTTGAGGATATGGACATGCTCTTCATATCAAATCATCCACTAAAACACACTTCTACTTTTTTCGAGTGTGAAATTACGCTGAATGGATCGCTTACAGGCAACAGTAAAATCGACTTATATTATTAAAAACATCCATAAGTAAAGAGGGGTATGAATGAAAACTACCTGCATTATTAGATTTTAAGCATAATCACAAACTATGTAATCATGTATAAAATCGGTCGCAATATGTTAATATTTACAAGTAGTCATACAAATAATTGATTGAGTGTGGGAAATAAAAGACATTTCCCACCTTGTACAACATTGCATACTAGCACCCCAACTCATTAAATGTACAACATTGCACATCTGATGAAGGTACATCAACGACACAGACGAATGCAATATAGGTGTAGAATTGGGATGATAGAGTGCAAGATTGGACGCAAACCTTGACTAGGTGCTAGATAATGTAGATAAAAGTTCTGCAAGCTCTACTTTCAATGCTGCCAATGGAACTGTCCACATTGCAAAGTTACAGCTTTGAACTCATCTTCTACCAATCTTAAGAAAGGAATGTTGATATGTGTGTCTGGCATTTGCCATCCCTTGGATGGAGATGCTCATTTGAAAATTCTTGCGTGTTACTAAAAAAGGCAAAATAGTATAAATATCAACAATCTTTAAATAGTAGGGGTGATAAAATTGAAATATCATAAATTTTGCAAGCTTTTGAGCAATGAAACAAACAAGGTCAGACTCCCTCACTATCACACACCCAACAACCCGAAATCAGGGTACGCAACTGGGTGGAGTGCTGAGGCAGGAGCGCTGGAATGGACCCCATGGCCGCCCATCATCCTCGCCTGTCCACGGTGCTCTGCCCACAGTACAATGAGAATTCCAATCCACCCTACCCCTCGATCCATTCATTATTGTCTTCTTCCTCTGACCAGCCATCTCGTGGGTTAAACGCATCATTTACAGGTGCATACTACCCACCTGATTGAGGCGTGTCGTTTGGAACCCACAGCGAGGCGTCACGGGCTCTGGTTCGCAGACGACAGCGCCCAATGTTTGGACCGAGCGTCCCCCCCCCCCCCCCCCCAATCCAGCCTTCATCAACGAAGACGTAACAGAGCTCCATCGCATGTGTGGAAGGGTTGCGAGCAACGGAGGCTCACGTCGGAATCTAGACCAAAGCCCACCTGGTTATGAACGCTGCTCCTCCTCCTCCTCCTCCTCTTCCGAAACCAAGCACTCACGACGCTGGGGATCCGTCGGTGTCCGATCCCCACCCCGTGCCGCCCACCCACACGAACCACCCGACGCGCGGCTGCGTCTGTCGATTTGTTCATCCACCGTCGCGATATTTCATCCATTCGGTGGTTCATTTCTGGAGAGTGCGAGGGCAAGACGTGGAGTATACACGTGGACAACTTCCCCGCCAACGTGTGCATCTCCCGCCATGGATTCCGACTGGTCCCGCCATAAAATGTCTTGTCCAAGCGCAGAGCGAAGAAGCGGGGACGGGGATTCCGTCGAAGAGGAGCTGCATCTCGGGCTCGCGTGGGATTCGTCGTCGTTGTCGTAGAGGTGTGAGAGAGAGAGAGAGGACTTGTTAAAGCGCTAATCGGGATGGTTTACCGGTCGCTTCAGTCGTCGTCTTCTACCCCCGTGGGAAAGGCAGACCATGACCCGAGCAGCAAGAGCCGTTGCTCAAAACCATCGTGCCCCCTTCGGCTTCAGCCTTGTTGCAGCAACGCGCTGCATTTTTCCCTCTTTCCCACCTCCGTCACGAAGAGAGGAGAGCTTTTTTTCTCTTCTTGTTCGTCTTCACGACATTTCACTTCGCCACTTTCATCGCCCACGCTCTGCTTGTGGTGGAGGGCTGTCTGATACGCATCCAGTTCAGAGATTTCATTCTTTTTCCTCCCCTGTTTTTGGGAAGCGTTTTTCATCATCCCGGTGGTTGTTTGGTCAGGCGAATTGAGTCGAAGTTAGGATTTTATTTATTCATTTATTTATATATCGTAATTTGGATTTTCTTTTTTCTTTTTTTCGGACCGTGGTAGGAGCTTGTAGGGGGAACTTCGTGGGTGTGCCAGAGTTAATTGGGAATTCGGGTTTTGGTTTCTGGTATCGATGGGGGGTCTGGATTGCGAGGTGTGAGCTGGGAAGATGGGCTAGAAGTGGGCTCGCTGGTGATCGCTTGCGACTTCAGGTTTTTTCTTGTGGATGTGGTGGTGAGTTTTGCGTGTTCGGAATGTGAGGCGCATGTCTGTCGGAAGCCCTGATGATTTGTTGAGTTTAAATGGTCGTTAGTGGACGGTGGGTGTCTCTGTGAAGCTCTCAGTGTCTTCAGGGGTTCCAAGTGTGGAAGAAGAAACCTGCTTTCGTTGTAGCGATCTTTGATTCGACATGAGGCTTGCAGCATTGGGGTTGTTTGAAGAGGTGGCAGTGCTTAGTCCTCCTCTTTGGTGAAAGTTCTCTTGAGCGGGTCATTCCGTGGAGGAGAATTGTGTAGATGCGTAAGCGTGAATTTTCCGTGAATCTGGGACGTTGTGTTTGAATCTTGAAGGCGTCGTGCGCTGTTGAGCTGCTTTGCCATGGTGCAATACCTTGCTGTTAAGCTGGGAGGGAACACCCGAGGAAAGGACCGTGAAAATTTTGACACATGTTGTACAATATTACAATGTAGGCACCTGAAATTGGTGAAATTGAGTTGACAAGCACTTTTCGATCTTTGTACAATCCCCTATTGAGGTCGAGGAAGGAGATCTACCCAAATACTTGGGTGTGTTGATCGCATAACGTTCTTACGTTGATGACATTGGTGCGGATGTGATTTCGCATCACAAATAAGTGGCAACGTAGGAACTTTTAAGCATACGAGCGATTTCAGCGAAACAGAGTACTTGTAATGGATCATCCTATGGACGGGTCCGTAGATATTGAGAATGGGTATCAGTTTAGGATTGCACAGTCTCTTAACTTACCGGTTGGCATGTCGCGAGATGCATTGCACCTCGACTCAATTGCCAGGCGATCTTGGCAAAGGTCAGTTGCTCCGACGAAGAATATGATCGGTGCAGCCAGTACCCTGTCACCCACGAAGACCTCATACAGCGACAGGTTTATTCCTAGCCGCTCGAGTTCGAACTTATCAAGTTTCTCTCTTTTGGATCGGGCACTATCAGGAGCCAACATCGTGCAATCTAGCGATAGCAAAGAAGATGGCTCGGGGGCCTACTCAATGTTGTTGAGGTCAGAGCTCTTCGGACAAGTTGGAAGTTCACCAGTAACACCAGAAAAGTCTTTCGGAATTGGTTCCCGAGATTCAATGCGGTCGCCCATCAGTCCGAAAAGTCGGAACATGTTCCGTTTTAAGAGCGAGTGCAAACCTAGCACCGGGTTGAATTCTCAGCCAGAGAGCCCTTATTCCCTTTCGCCCGTGGGAATTGATAGTACAATGACCGGGGCAACCGTATCGCCTCGGAAAGCGCCGAGGAAAATTGCGCGGTCCCCCTGCAAGGTGTTGGATGCGCCGGCTTTGCAGGACGATTTTTATCTCAACTTAGTGGATTGGTCATCTAGTAATGTGCTTGCGGTTGGATTGGGCACTTGTGTGTACTTGTGGAGTGCATGCAGCAGCAAGGTGACAAAGCTCTGCGATTTAGGGCTCACGGATAGCGTCTGCTCCGTAGGGTGGACGCAGAGAGGCACGTATCTCGCCGTCGGAACCAACCTGGGAGATGTGCAGATTTGGGATGCCACACGGTACAGAAAAGTGCGGACTTTGGGTGGGCATCGGACGCGAGTTGGGGCGCTGGCATGGAGTTCACATATGTTGTCATCTGGCAGCCGAGACCGAAGTATATTTCAGAGGGATGTTAGATCGCCAGAAGATTTTGTAAGTAAACTTGTAGGGCATAAGTCTGAAGTGTGTGGACTGAAGTGGTCGTGTGATGATCGAGAGCTCGCATCTGGAGGAAATGATAACCAGTTACTTGTCTGGAATCAGCATGCGGCGCAACCCATAGTAAAATTCAGCGAGCACACTGCTGCTGTGAAGGCCATTGCTTGGTCACCTCATCAAAATGGATTGTTAGCATCTGGGGGCGGCTCTGCTGATCGATGCATACGATTTTGGAATACTGCTACGAGCTCTCATTTAAATTGTTACGACACCGGGAGCCAAGTGTGCAATTTAGCGTGGTCGAAGAATGTGAATGAGATTGTGAGTACGCACGGCTATTCTCACAACCAGATCATTGTTTGGAAGTATCCAACAATGTCTAAGCTTGCTACATTGACAGGGCATTCAATGCGGGTTTTGTACCTAGCCACATCTCCAGATGGTCAAACGATTGTGACTGGAGCTGGCGATGAGACGCTACGGTTTTGGAATGTTTTCCCATCTCCGAAATCGCAAAGTGCTGTTCGTGATACAGGTGTTTGGAGTCTTGGACGGACACACATTCGATAACCCTGAGCAGGGTGGCGCCCCCAATAGTTCCCAATACTTCATTTAGCCTAGGTGCAAGTACCTATGTTGCTGTAATATGAAGTCGGTAAATTAAACCTAGGTTACCAATCGAGGTGTAGGATTAGATCTTTTTCCCATTTGCAAGTCCAAAAAATATTGATGGCTGCACGATCATCATTACCAGCACATGATCACAGCCACATGCATGGCTGCGTTTTGTAATATTTGGCTTCCAATCTGCAGCTGTATGTCCCTCAGAGGTAGAATGGCAAGAGATTCCTTCTCTACGATTTCCCACTTGTTACATTTGTCTCAATCGATTTAAAGAAAGGCTTACTGTGACTTTACCCATGGAACGTCTTCGCATGTGCATGATGGATTAAAAAAAACGAACCTGTGCTTATGTATCCTTCCTCGAATTGTTCTGTGGTTAAGTTTGTGGTGCTGCAGCACACGAGTCAGTTGTACGAGTGTCGTCATTGGAGGTCTTGAAACTGTCATGTGAAGACCTATGAAGATCAAGTCTCTTAAAGTTTCTTGTTCATCCAGAACCTTGATTCATACTGCGTGTTTGAGCTTGCCTTGGTGCATTCGTGCAATAATTCACTTAGCTAGAGGTAAGTAGGTGACGAAATTGATCAATTGATCACTTGCGTGTTCATTTTCCTTCATCAGCTTCAGCGTGCAGTACATCTTGGTCTGAATATGCGCAGCCCCCTCGATGCAACTGCATATAGATGAAGAGATAGGCTGCATTGATGATGTATGAATGAATTGCTAGAGGGATTCATCATGCATTTTCTTGTATCTTGCAGCCATTTGTTGACGTATTGTTAGGTTCTGTTCATATTGAATGGCTAACCTTTTTCTTACATCCTGTACCTGTTGTACACAACAACGTTAGAGTTGAATTTAAGACCTGGCATGTCTTTACTTCCATACGAGACCTATAAACGTGGCTCATCTTGCAAAGTTTGAATTCCTCACGGCACTGGTGGAACCCAATAGAGAGCTCCCCACATTCTACGTGACAGTCTGGCATTTTGTGCCTCAGGTTGCGTCCACTTGCTGAGTAAATGTGTCATAAGAAGTTGCTTGAGATACTTTCGCATAACAAGACAATATGCACCAGAAGAGGCAGTCAACGATTGATTGCAACGTCGGTAGTTGCTCGTCTTAGTTCATTCCTTTAGAGGGATCGTTACGCACGGTTCTGAGGATTTGACGGAACTTATAAAGTGGTTAAAGAGACTGTCAGAATTATCTAGAGGAGATGCTTTTTTCTGAGTGTTTAATTTTGGGGTGTTTTGTCAGTTGTATTGGTTTGGTTTGGGGGAGATACTCCCTCCCTCTGTCTCAGCGTTTGGATTTCTTTGCTTATGTCCTTGATATTGCTCGAAGTTCCAAAACTGGAGGGCCTCCAAATTGCCCTTCCGTTCTTAGGCGATTTCTCCAACTCTTCAATCCGCAGCGTCAGTTGCTTAATCTCATAGAACGCACAATTGTCGCGTTCCCGCAGGGCCTAAGCGAATCCTTATCCTTGTCAATACGAATGCATGGAAGAGGGCAGGAATAGATATGCCTGTTATGGGTATTCAGGTGGAGAGCTTGCCTACTCTGATCATTGGACAACAGCTTTTGGAATTTCGACTGTAGTGGAGCCTAAAGTAAGGCAGCTCAGGAAAACAAGGGTATAATAAGCCCCAGGTAGTTTACTCACGTCCAGTTCGGCTCTCATTTTGGCCTCTTTGAGTGCTTCAGAACGAGAGCTTCGCTGCACTTCAAGAATCACAATAGTTCCACCCACCTGCCGAAAGTACACTGCATCCTCTTACATCATCATTGATTATTGCCAGAAAATAATATATAAATGTATGCTATTTCAAAATAAAAAATAAAAAAATAAAAAAACGAAAGCCATCAAACAGGGGCCAGCAAGTAAAATCCTTGCAATGAGTTATTGGTGATGGCAGCCAACAATTTATTGTACTTTTGGAGGACCCATTTTACTGAAAGAGTGCTTGCATCAATCATACTCTGATAACATGGAGTTTTCCTTGTGATTGTAAATTTATGTATATTTTAAACTTTTTGTAGGGTTAACGGATGCCTTCATACCGCAAAGATGATAAATTCACCAAGGAGATCAGATGCTGCTTGAACAGCCTTCTCTGGATTAAGAGGGTGCACAGCCACGCCGGTGTCGTGTCCATATATACGTCGTTGCAAGTTCACTTGAAATCTGTGGTTAGACTGCAAAACTCCACAGCTTAGATCATGTGTGCTTTCGAGCATTTAGTCACCACAATGCTCAATATAACCATGGCAATGATTGTAGACCAAAAGCTCTCTGCAATGCTATTCGTTATCAGCATGCCTGTGGAACTCATGTAAAACTCGTAGTGTGAGAAGATAGAATGTATTTAAAGCAACAATCAATGTGGACTGCCATTCGTAGAAACCTAAAATTAGAGGGGAAATGACATGACAAGAGACGACAAATTAATTCCATCAAAGTTCGTTCCTAAACATGGGTAACCTAAAATATCAATTCAGCTTGCTAGTACCATAAATCTATCAGCGACAGTCATTGCATCGCAAAATGGTTCAAGGAAGCTTCGTCATTTCAGTTTTTTGTGAAACGCGAACGTTCCTCCTAATAAAACAGAATCAATGGCTGTGGTTGTAGCATTGTTTTCCACAATGAATGAGATATCTCATTTGCATGAAAAAGAAAAGAAAGAAAGCTTGATTTTTTTAAAGAAACACAGAATAAAATTGTACGAAACTCCAACCTGTGCAATGTTGACAATGATTTCCCGGAATCGAGGGTGTTTTGCTGCATGACTTTTCAACCTGCTCGCGAGAGGCTTACCCAATGACTTCATGAACAATGCTCCCAACTTTGCCGCAGGCAGTATCATTCTTGCGCTCTTACATTGATCGACACATCAGACTCTTTGCATCTACGGCACATCGTGTTTGTGGGTCACCCCTCCCACACTCTGCTCCCTCGATTCTAATGCCACTGCCGTCGACCAAACTTGCAAACGTCGTCCCGTAGAGATAAAAAAATAAAAACTTAGAAATTGAAATTAGGGCTTCGGAAGTCGTGCTTGTGATGGATGGATAGATGGATGAACGGGTGAGTGAGTGAACGTTGAAATGTAGGGATGTCGAAGGGTAAGCAATTGGAGATTCCTTGGCATCCCATAAACTTATATTGTTATTAAGAGGTCTTTATATTTAGAAGTCTTACCAAGGTTTCTTGTTTTGTGAAGAAAAAGTTTGGTTTTGGAAGTTTTATTCTTTAGAAAATGGTAAAAAGTAAAAAGATACCATGAAATAGATCAAATCAAATTTTCAGGATAGTTCTAAACTAGCATAAAAGACCCTTATTTTGCATTAGGAGTAATATGTAAAGCAGGTCATTGCTTCATTACTTAGAGATCAATTATAATGTTTGATTGTTGTTTTTTTTTGTTCTTTTTTGTTTTTTTATTCTTTTTACTTTCACACTTGCTTTTATGTAAAAATAAACATCAAATTTTAGTATTCAAATGCTTCATAATAAAAAAATTTATATTACATCAATAATATCTATAATTGATGTTAAATATTAAAGTGATATTTTATTTGAAAATATCATATAATTGCTTCTGAAATGATATTAGGTTTTACAAATAAAATTCTAAAATAGGTATCTTTTGTACTTGAATTTTTTTGATTCTTATAAAATTGAAAAATATAATTAAAATTTAATTATTATAGTTTGAATAAAAGTTTTATATTTGGATTTTAAATAAATTAATAAAAAAAAGATTTAATTCTTTTATTTTATGTCTTAGTTATAATTTATATAATGATTACTTTTGGCACAAAATCTTCTATATCAAGAGACATTCTAGTCAATAGATTACATGCTATATTTTATAATACCATCACATAAACTTTGACCTTTATTTTTAGACAATAAGATAGGAATTTTTACATAAATGATATTAAAAAAATTATTTAGATATATTGTACAACTATTTGTTAAATTATTTATTACTATCTTTAATAAATATTTTAAAATAAAAATATAATGATTTTTTTTTTTTTTTTTTAAAAATAAATAAATATTTAGTTCATTAATATATATAAGTTATAGATAAAATTAGATAATTATAATGTATTAATGATTATTTTTATAATTAATAATATTATATGAGATTTTTTAAAATTTAATTGTGTACCAATCAATATATAGTAATTTTATCTAAAAAGTATATAATAAATCTTGAATTCAAGGCAATGTTGAAACAAATTAGAATATTTCATACATTAGTATATATATGATATTATTGAATATATATGAAAGCTATATAAAAATCTAATAAATAAATCAAAACTTGTATGTATTTTTTATTAAAAATAATTATAAAAACCAAGGACTAATCTTTGAAAATATGATGGTATAAATGAAAATAATAAAAAAATAAGTTTAAAAATTAATCTAAAAAATTCCTTTATAAAGATGGCTATTGATTTTATTAATCAATAGCCATCAAATTCATTTTAAGAATTGTTATTTGAAAAATTATTTGATGAAGTACTTAAGTTCTTTCAATCTCAACAATATTACAATTGTAATGAAGATCCTCAAGAACAATACATTCTTCCATAAAAAGATAGTAAGATATAACATATTTAATACGATGATTTTGGAAGAGACTCTTGATGCTTAGGAATATTATTGGAGGTAGATATTACACTTGATAGAATATGTAATGTATTATTTGAAGATAGCTATGAAGGCCTCAACAATAATTAAAAAAAAATTGCTCATCTTCTTATCTTGATATGGGACATTATTGATGGTTAAAAGAACCATCAACGACATTAGGACAAAAAAAGATCAAAGTTTGTTACTTATACTGATTAATAGATCTTAGACTTTATTAACTTATGAAGAAATAACGTAGCTTCTAGTAGAATTAATTGTAAACTCTCATTTATGTTCTAAATTTTATTTATTTATTTTTTTCTTATTTTATGATAATTGAGCAGGTTAGATTAGGATTTATATAGTTAAAATCTAATTTTATTAAATTTTTAGGATTTTAACCTTTGATGGTATAAATCTTAGCATGATTCCTTGAGTTAGATTAATTAAGACCAAAATGATAAGGATTAGAAAATTAAAATAATAATTTGGTTAGTTTTAATAATTTAGAGGTTGTTAGTCATTGCTATAAGGGTTGATTGAGAGCCTATGAGTTCACCTACAATCATCTCACATGATTTAGAGTGAATTAGAATTAGAACTTTTTAAAAGATCTAGTGAAGTTTAGTAATGACGGTTTTGAAGTTTTTTCTTCAACTTCAACAAATCCAAGTGGCAAAGTAGTTTTTTTTTTCAATTATTGGAGGCTTTCAAATGCATTGATGGCATTGGATTTACTCCATGGAGTGAAGAAAAAAAGATCAGCACCTTCTCCTCCAACATACAAGTGGAGCAATGAAATTTTCATTTATGAAGGATTTTATAATAATTGCTAAAATCTTTATAGGTAAAAACTTTCATAAAAATTGCAAATAAACATAGATGGAGGCATGTGAATAGTCAATCTTAGCATAAAAAGGTGTTTTGAACACAATGGTGAAGTTAGATTTATCAAAAATTACTTTTTTGACCACTTACAATAGCCATCAGCCTTGGTAACGAAATTAGCTTTTGGATGGATGAAGGCTATAGATCTAGATTAGGGATCTAGAAATCAAGGGTGGAGATGCAGCCACCCTTCTATGAGCCCCTTCTCAATTGTATAAGAGAGGCTTGGTCCCCCAAGTATTCTCACTCTCCTCTTTTGATGAAGCGCAAAGCCATGCCAAAATTTGGCCAAAAATCCTAATCTTAATTTTATTTAGATTTTTAAATCTAATTGTGAACTTTGTAAATGGATGTGCATGGGTTTTTAGTTGTGAATGATAGTCATTGGGTTTTAAAACATGCTTCATTGTGGTAGATAGCTCCCTTGGCTTCCCAAGTACTCCAAGGGTTTAAAAAGCCTCGGATTTCCTTCAATCAGTCATTTAGTTTTTTTAGTTTCAATGTGAAATTCTTTGTGATTGTAGCTTTTGTTGTTAGCTTTCTCACAAGATAAGATTCGCTCTAATTGAAGTTGCATTGAATTTTTAGTAAAATTTTGAGTACGAGGGAGTCGACTGCCTTCATAGTTTGAATTAATCGAGTTTGGGAAGATATTTCTCAGTGCTTTATAATTAGATTCAATTGAAATTTTAGAAAAATTAAGCTTTATAAGCTAAGCTTTGAAAGGCATAAGTTTTGCTAGATTTGAAGAAAATTTGAATTTTTAGAAAATTTCTAAGTGAAAGGAGTTGGTCGCCATAGTAGTTTGGATTACTCAACTTCAAAGGAGCAATTCTCTCAATTTGATCACTAGATTGCAACAAAATTTATTGAAGCAAGAATGCCTTTAAGTTAATCTTGCAAAAAACTAAGAATCATTTAATTTGGAGCTAGTTACAATTTTTGGCAAATTTTGGAGTAAAAAGGGGTCACTGCCTATAATCCTTGGACATTGTCAAGGTACCTTCGCTTTTACCTCTCTTATTTTATTTTTACTTTTATCTTCATAGTAACTCATAATCCCCACATTTTAAATTTTGGCTAATAAACTTTAAGTTTTAAGTTTTAAGTTTAAGTTTAAGTTTAACTTTTAAGTTTTATTTTTAACTTAAACTTTAAAATTTAATTTTTAACTTAAACTTTTAATTTTAACTTTTAAATTTAACTTTTAAATTTAAATTTTAACTTAAATTTAAGTTTTTATTCTTATTGTGAATTAATGGTAATAACTTAATTAATTATTTTTATCATTTTTGAAAATAAATTTAATTTAATATTTTAATTTAATATTGATAATCATTATTTGGGAGCTATTAATTTTAATTGAATTATAGATTCTCACATTTAAATTAACTTAATAATTTTACAATTGAGGGTTCTTTCATTCTACATCTTGAGCTCATTGTGTAATACTAATTCCATAGAATGGTGGATTTTAGGTTTACACTAATCATTTAAAAAAGTAGATAAAATAATAAATAATTATATTTATTAATATATTTATTTAGAAAAAAATTGAATAGAAGTAAGTAGGAGTAAATTAAATTATTAATATCTTATTAAAAATTTGTTTTATAACTTTTTAGATATTACACATATTCATAAGTAATTGACATGTTGACAACTTAAGCAACAATTTAGCTATATATTGCCTATTTAGCCACTTCTATTACAAATTGATAATATGGCATATATATCATATATTTTTTCTAGAAATTAGGCATATATTCAAGAAGTTGAATATGTATTATATGACCTATATAATATTGTTACATAGTTCTTTAGTAGATAATATACATAGAGGCAAGAGTGAGGCCTTGTCAATGCCTTTCTTGTATTCTATCTTAGTTCAAGACTTCTTAGTTCCTTTATATTTAGTAGTAGTCATTTTAGTTTGAGTTCTATCTATGTAATGGGATATGAATAAGATATTTTTATTATTGACACATAGAGATAGATAGTTGGAATCATATTTGAAAAATTATGGAAGTTTCTAGAATTAGTGCTAGGTTAGTAGACCATGTAGGATCCATCGTAGAACATTTTCGAAAGAGCTTAGGAAGGTCATCTATGTCAAGCCTACTATAGAACCTTCTAGAAGGAGTTTAAGGGGGTTATCTCAGTGGAATCTATCATCTAAGAACATTCTAGAAAGTCCAAGGTGGTAGAACAAAATATAAATAGGACTAGCAAGGATCTTTTGGGCATTGAGTCAAGTATAGCTTTGGACCTTTTTTCTTAATAAAGTTTGATTTTTCATCTTCTTGTTCATTCTGTTTTGTTTTATTTCAGTTTCTATGATTTTGTCTTTGTGTCACATTTTATTTAGTTTAGTTCAAGTCCATTTTATCCTACTTTGTGATGATGTTTTATGTGGCTGTGGATTAGAAGAGTCTTAGACTCTCAAGATAGACTAGTCTTGTTTCATTGGTATCAAAGT